GTGTAACCGAATATCATCTAGTACGTCCGTCAATTTGTTAAGTGGGAAGGAGTAGATAACATTAAAATCATCAGTAAGTGGGAAGGGGATTCCACGGTTAATAGATTCGGAAATATTATTTATATACATGAGGGATAATAAAGGGCCGCGTATAGTACCTTGTAATCATTCACGGGTAACCGGTTGAGGATGTAGGAACAATTCCCTATCGAAACAACCTGAGAGCGGTCTGATAGGTAAGAAGAAAGCCATGCAAAGATGGGGCTTTGGTACTGAGTGGTAGGTGGGAAGTTCTGCCAAAGGCTTTAGCCATATTAAGGTGTACTAATATGTACACCTTGCCGGTGTCCACCGGTTTGGTAAGAATGTTTAAATAAAGGAATGGGTATGTTTTGTAGCAGCGAATAGTTGGAAACCCGTGTTGGCTCTTGCTAAGTGTTTACGGTAAGAAGATACACAGACAGTTGCTGTTTATTTTTTCATTATCCTAGAGAGATTAGGTATATGGTTGATGGAAAAGTAGTTGAATGGGTCCTGAGTAGGTCCCGTTTTGTGTGGTGGAATAATGGTAGATTTATTCCATTGAGATTGTCCAATGCCACTCGTCAAAGAAACGGTAAATAGATTTAACGAAATGACGGGTACATCAGGCCCTCCAAAGCATATAGCAGTTAGGGTAGTCCATCCGGTCCAGAGCGAGCGGGGGGTTTAGCTGTGGTGTGGCATTAAGCCAGATGGCATTTACAGATTCGGTTGTGGGCTAAGGCATATTAGTAACTGTGGCAATTTAACAGTCGGTTGAAAGGGACCAAAACAGTTGCTCAATATTTCATGCAGCGATGGATAACCTTTATGGTCACGACTGACAGAGGAGCATAATCCGAATCCGAATCATTCTCTTCATTGAAAAGATTGCTGTGTACGCAACGCATTGGTATCATTGCGTACCATCCAGCTTCTTACGGTCTAGCAGAACGTTCTCACCGTCAACCTAAGGGTCACCTGAGGGCATACGGGAACCTTAATTGGTAAGATACGTTATCTCCTGTTCTGTTAGGCATCAGGACATGCAGATATCGAATGTACAACTGCTGAATCTGTTTTCGGCACTCCATTACGACTGTCTGAGTGATGTTTTCAGCTATGGCGCATGGAGTTCATCCGAATGCAGACCTACATGCAACGTTTGTCTACGTTTATGCAATCCGTATCTCCGGCACAAATAGGAATACAGCAACAAAAGGTGTTCATCGCTACTGAACTCTTAATCTGTTTGCACGTATTCATTCGAACTGATGTTGTACGTAAACCGAAAGCCCCACGAAGAAGCTTTTCAAGTTATTTTGCGTCACGAATAGTTCTTCATGATCACGTCAGCATGATTAACATTGAACGCCCCATTGCAGCATATATCGTTGATTGTATTGTGCACAACAGCAGAAGACTCGATGTTATTCTTGCACAGCTGATGATTGAGCCACCTACCTTAGAGTTAAGCTCGCAGATGGCAGTACCTGCTACGATTTCGAAGGAGACAGCTAACTCACATTCAGATCAACGATGTAAGAGCACCAGGGGGAGACATCAGTCTCAGGTTCAGGTTAAAGGATTGTTTGGCCTGCCCGTCTAAGGGATTGAGCAAAGCACGATCCACAAGCCTCTAACATGAGCATCAACTATTTTGACTTATATCAAGAGATGCCTTATCTCGATATTTGTTTGTATTCTCAAAGACTGTTTATGACTGATGGAGTAGTTTTGAACACTAAGATGTGTGATGAATGCTCACCATATATAATCGCATCCCTCTCTATTTCTGATTCACGATGCTAGACTGCTCAAGAATGGTAGATTGCTGCAGCTGACAAGCTCCTGGTCTTCACTCTTTTTAGACTGAGAGCTCGTCGTTACCACAACTACAGCTGAGGTTATTACAAGATGGTACACCGGTATTATCCGACAATCTGTTAATTGCAGATATCAGGTTATACAAAAAGCACATTGGTTGCCACAAGGATCAACAAGAACTTCGGCACCTTCTCGCATGATCGTGGTTCCTTTGGACTTCGAGATATTTTCGAAGATGATTTACGTTCAGTGGTATTAAACATAGACGACAAGTGGTCCACTTTCTTCATTCTGAAACGCCGAAGAGCATGGACGCGAGAGACGACGATAATCTGCGAACAACATGGAGCCACTATCGGTTCGGATGGTGTAGATCATTCAAGGAATGATATGTTTCCGCCACAACGAATCTGGTTCGTTTTCGACTAACGCAAAGTAGGCCAAAGATACCAATGAAACTGATAGCCAGTGTCTTACAGCACATCCATACTCACCAACGCTTACCCGCTTTTCGAACTCCAATAACACTTGAAAGCTTTTGCTTGCTTTCTAGTGGGGGGGGGGCTCCTCTAGTGAAGATGATTGCACGAAGAAAAGGCGCAATCCACGAGAACGTTTTCCGTTCATGTTTTCTTCACATTCAACTAAAACTCTCACTGTGATATTACTTTCTGTTATACGTGACTGCGTATTTGGTACTCTCTTGTACTGTACGTGTACGTGTACAACTATCACGAGTGGTTTGTCGATCTCGGACAATGAAGCACTCTGAGTTCAAGAGCTCATTTTTCAATCCGTAAGCTGCCTTGTTGACAGGCCGTTACTTCAAACCTCTTCAAGACCAATAGCCACAGCTAATATAGGATCATTCGGATTCAATTCAGAGTAACCTGTGAGTACTGGCGTGGGATAATTAATCTTCATTGATTTGAACTGACTATTCTTCGGATTTCACTTTCACGCACCATCTTCATTTGTTCGATTCAACCATACGCTTGAAAGCATGGATAATATTCTGGGTGGAGTTGGAGTCCTTATGAACGAAGAATAAACGTTTACTTTTTATAATGAATACTCTTGGAATCAAATGAAACAGCTTCAAGATTTTTATTTCGGAGGAAGTTTCATCCTGTTTATCGGGAGGAGTCCCTACGATTAATGTGCCCACTGAATTCTTATTTTGGTTTCTGTTTCATTTGAAATGATTGTAGCTTGATCAAATAAATAAAAATTGTCGTAATCATGGATCTGGTGACAGGAAATATAATTTAATTGTACTTGTTTCCAAGATATAATTATGGTTAAAAACAGTTTGCTTGGGAAAACAGAATAACTAAAACCTAAGTCTCTCAGAAAAGGATGGTTTGTTTAACTGAGATTTCCATATTCCCGTGATTCTACTGTTAATATTCCGTAACAATTGTAATAAGCGTTTTGTAAGAACATCATTGTATGATTTTTGACATTAACTACAAAGTTATGGGGAAATGCATTAAAGATGTTGAAAAATATTGCAAATGGTTTCTGCTAGAATAAGTTTATCAAAGAAGTTAGATTCATCATATACAACGGAAGATGCGGAGAACCAATATCATCGATGCCGAAAGTAAAGCTGTCAAGTAGGTTAAGTATTCGACTGCTCAATTTGTGGTGAGTTCTTTTGGTTTATATGTATTGTAATTGTATGATAATGCTGTGCCTCAACCTGGTTTGTGTCCCGATAAAAGTTTGAACGCACTGTGGATATTTCTCGTTGTTCCATAGAATGAATCAGAGTTTCCCAAACGTTGCGTAGGGCCTTCGAGCAGAGAGAAAATGGTGGATAAGATGGACAGTGTTACGAAGCTTAGAGAAAAATTGATGCTACCAAATTAAATTGAGCAATGGAACATGTAAATTTAAACACATTGTGAAGGGTTGTGAAGCGACATTGTTTCTCATGGAAGTCGTCAAGGCCTGAGGGTACTTAGACGTGTTTCTGACTGAATCATTCTAAACTTTTGACGGCTTTTGAGTTTGTAAATAGGCAGCTGTACTGTAAAGTGTGTTTTGCAAAAGATAAATAACAGTTCCGAAAATAAATGTAAAGCCTGCAGTTGATATTACTGTTAATGGTAGGGCGCGATGAGGTGAAAAAAGTGAACCCCTTCTTAATGAACTTTTGCTACTTTACGTGAAAACCTGAACCTCAAAAATTGAATAAGTGAAAGAGATTAAAATTCAATAGGACATCTATTTAACATTTACTCTGGTGATAATGGAAGTGCTTGCCACAAAGTGCGGTCATAACTGATTAAAGTCAGTTGATATTATATGTCCCTATCTTTTCCCCACATGGTACGCTGAAAAAGCTTGTCAGGCTTTCAAGGGATTGGTTTGTACTAGTTAAATAATCGGGTTACCAAATCTCTCTCACGAAGAAGGCGCAAAATATAATCGATACTTATGATCCATGTATGGCTGAGCATGGTTTTTATCGTCGACGATGACGCTTATTTTTAGCGAGATTCTCTGGTTCCAGTGTGCGGCGCTTGAAGGACGTTTAGCATAAGGAATATGTATAAACATGGTAATTGTCCTCGTCTACAGCACGAAACAGGTATGTGAAGAACAAGAAAATAGTGTGCGGTTTGTAAGATTCTATCAGTGCACAAAACCCACAAACCCAGCTGAAGATCGAACTCGGGAACTAACAAACTGAACTTGAATATTCTGAGTAAATGATCAATCTGTTTAACATTTTGTACACACACAAAATGATGAAAATGAAAAGTTTTATTTCAAATACAGAGGAAAATGAAAGCAACGGCATAAATACTTGCTTGGTGTTCAAGCTGATAGAATGGCTCTGATCTCTTAGTTAGAATTCTAGTTCAATCCCCAATTAGGTTGATGGATTCAAATTACTGTACAGCGCTTTTTTGAGTATGAGTTTGCGTCTTGTTCCCTCAAAATCCATCATTTTATTGAATGAAATTCCTCACAAATTCTGTATACCAATGGGATAAGTACCAGTGTTCATTGTGAAAATTGCATATCAGTTGAAACCAACTATGAATCACACAAAGCTTAATTCAAGCTGCATACCTACTTAGTCACGAGAACGATAATCATGCCAATCTGCTCAACAGCTGCGTTTGCTGAATGGTACATCATACCTCGTGTTGATCAAGTATTTGTTGTGTGGTAATCGAGGAATTCAAATTCTCAAATCGGGAATTTCCTTGGTGTTGTTGCTTTTGCTGACGTTCTTGATGTCCACGTAGCCACTGATCGTACCAATCCAGCTGAGCTTGTAGTTGAACAAACATTCCTATTGCTTGCGGAGAATATGTTCCATTCTGAGCACGTAACTGGTTCAATAAACTGCGATAGTTCTATTGTATTGGCAATGCAGAATGAAAATGATAGTTATTAATTAAAATTCTATAAAACTAGAGAAAATTTATACAACGGAACTCTAGGAAATTCATAAACACGTGAACCTTAACAATTGTGAGGCGTATTGAAGGAATCTGTTCCAGCTGTCAAGACCAGAAAATTGCATGTTATTTTTTATAAAAAATATACAAATCAATCTGGATCATAAATTAAAATCATCTCAATGAATCCATACACGAGATAACTTTCTCGAATTGATGCTAGATGCATTCAACTGATATCTTGTTGTGCGTTATCAACTGGTTGTTAATATACAGTTCGACAAGTTTAATGTTTGGCTTTACAGTGTTGCGCTAGATTCTAAACTTCACTCTTTGTAACTTACACTCCGAAGTCCCTAATGTAGTTTAGGCGTTTACCAACAGGGCTGAATGATAATCATATACAAACAGGCAATCATCATAGGTCTTCGCCGAAGATGGAATAAAACAAACGGTCATTGTGCACAAGAAATACTAAAACATTCCGACAGCGGAGAATTATCAAGTTAGGAATATATTTTGAAAAGGTTTCCGACTATCTGCTGCATGACAAATGGTATTGCTAGTAATTTCCAATCACTGCATTCTAAACAATCATCACTAATAATGTGAACCGATTGTAGCTCGTGGACCTTTGCGTTCACCCATGACCCAACATTCCATAAATCAAACATATTGGAAACAAAGAACAGAAATGGAAACAAGGAATGTTATAATAACCAAAGTTTCAATGTTTTATGTTGCGGGTTTCGTTCTAAGGTGTTTCCTATTTATTATATAAAAGGCAAGGTGAATATATGTTTGGTCTCCAACACGGTATACGCTAAATATATCCGCACCGAAGTTGATATTCTGCGCACGGCCTCAAACAAACAAACTTTTCTGGTTTTATTTTGACCGTACAGACATTGATCAATATCGGTAACCTGCATTGAACAGTCTGAACAGAGTAAAACTCTGGAGGAGTATCCCGCTTAATCCATGTATATTTTTCTGAAAAATTAATTCTTTTGCGATCTGAGGTATTTCAAGCTTTAATTATCGCGAAATGTCTATGCACGAAATGTTTACCTGCTCCTTATCCACGTCTATTATATAACTAAGGAAACCTCACTCAAAGCGTGCAGGGAATTTTAAAAGACTTTGCTGCATAGTATACCCGAATGACGAACGTTCATATGCTGGGAGTTTGTTGTGGTTGTGGGTGCCATTTCTGGCATAAAAAATTGGTTAGCAGTTTATGATTAGTTGTGTTATCAGTTTCTGTGCATTTTGGTCACAGCAAGGCATGTAATAACATTTACCCCTGAGATTGCATTTTCTGCTCCATGGTCAGCTTGTCTTCATTTATGCGATGATTCAAGTGAGTGGATTACGTTAGCCAAAATGGGGAGTAAAACTGGGTATTAGAGATGTGAAATATATCTTACTTCTCTGTGTTGATGAACGAAGTATGATGTTCACTAAATCCTTGGTTTATGGATGATTTCATGGCTCCAATAGAGTGATTCCTAAACTTTATCTGGCTTGAGTGACCTAGCATTATTTCTAACTTGAAACTTAAATTCAATGGAAGCGCATGAACAATTATTACTTAAAACATTGTTCTAGGTCTACACTTGNACTTAAAACATTGTTCTAGGTCTACACTTGCTTGCAACATGCATTAAAATTTTACTGTTCTATTGAATTTACTCCTATTTGCAAAGTTCAATTTGCATGGTAAGAAACTTCTAAAAGCGTTTAAACTGTAATTCATAGTTTTTTGAACAAATAATCAAGTGACTTGACCCAACGCTGTATTTTGTTTGGTGAGAATCCCATTTTTTCACTCGCTTAATTTAACGCATGCCAACGATTCACCAAATGTCCTTCAGCTATACTCAACAGCCGATATTTTGAAGCACCGACTTGAAAATATGTCTCCTGAGGTCGATGATGAACGGCTGCATAAACAGCGGCCAACATGGATGATTCTGTCATATTTGACGCACCCAAAGTGAAGTTTCCCAAATTTTCCGGTGCTGAGTGAAGTAAAATTAAAATTGATGTGATCTGTTCTCATAGGTAAGGGATTTCTTTATTTTGCTCATTTTGATGGCTACACTTTTGGGACGTTCCTTCATCTTATGAATTTCGTTCATGCCATTGTATGTACGGAATAATCTGCGATGAAGGCAGAGGTGGGAGCAAATCATGGACAGTCTTAAGGCGACGGCTACTCTGGGCAGCTGCACAGTTATCCCAGGCACAAGTGATCAATCGGCTTCACTCTTCCTGAAAATTGAAGCATAGATTCTTGAACAAATATGAGATTCAATCCTTCTGGTATAATGATATGACCGTAAATTTCGATGCGTTAAATTAAATGTCACGTTTTATTTTCCCCCGACAAACTGAGCTGCCTATCCTGTGAAGTGTTAGTGAACCCTCAGTTCTTTTCACTGTATTTCAAGTATTGGCAGCAAACGTTATTGTTTGTGGAACAAAATCACCTGGTAGTTCGTTCATGATAGCTAGAAAAAGAAAATGCCCAAAAACATATCCCTTTGGTAAACTGGACTGTTACAGGAATAGGATCATACAATGACACAAAAACCTGAACTGATACAGTACGATGCAAAATAAAATCTTCGATACAACCAAGTACGAGTACCCGGATTCCATAATTTCAAATGTACCACATAATTGGTTTGTGTTTCAAGTGGTCGAATACTTGGAAATGTCGAGGTAAATCTGTCCACGGCTTTCCCATGGTCCATTGCTTTTGCTAATTATTCTCAGGGGAGCAGCAATTTAGGAATACATGATTGCTTTTGTCGAAACCAAAGTTGAGATGGGGTTAATACGCTGCGTTTATCCGAATGCCCCGTCTTAAAGCAACAATGGATGCCAGAACTTTGGTAAATACGAGAAGGAGATTGAGGTATTTATACGGGTCTGTACCGTTAATACTTTTGTAAATGAGTGAAATCAATCCTTGTTTCCATTAATGTGTGGCTACAGTTTCATCGAACAAACTTTGTGATACTCCACTCATTAACTCAGCTACGTAGATCGCAAGGCAAAGTGCATAGGTCTTATCTAACCCTGATAATAATTTCTTTTCGAAGATAATATTCGTGTTAGAGAATAGATATTTAGTGGATGTGACCAAGGCATTCAAATGAGTTTTTTTCACGCAAAATCCTCAGTTACTGACGTTTGCATTAGATATTCCCAACAACCGATGATACTCCAAACTGTGGAAGCATGCACCATTTTAACACCTACATCTTTTCCAGGGTAACTACACCTTGTTTATTTTGGAATTTATTTTTTTTCTGCAGTATATATTTAAACAGACACAGCGAGGTTCAACTTGGAAAATTTGGGAGAAACCAAGCCACCGTGTGCTCTATTCAGGTTCATATAGGGGAAAAAATATTTCAGCCAATGATGGCCTGGAATTTACTTTTTATGGGAAAGGCAACTGTGGTTAGTATTAGGCGTAAATTATATTAAATGAGGAAACAATAGCCCCACTTTAACAAGTGCAATTAGCACTTTTGCACAATTTCTTTCGCTCGTTTCATTGCTTCCTTTTTAGATTGAAATACGTGTTGTCAAACCTAGTTTGGCAATACAGACTGGGCTTTTGGGTAGACAATTGTCCATTTGTACAACAGTTTTGGGTTTGATATTATCATCTACCTCAGCCTCTCTTGGTGCAATACATTGTTTTCTAGAGCCTGATTGATGCAGCTGTTTATTAGTTGACCGTGTTGTTGCGAGGGCATAGTTTGTACTCTTTTCGTGATAATTCGCCCAACAAAATAAGCTTCCTTTTTCTGGGGTCAATCATGGATTTATACCAGGTGGGGTGTTTGAACTTTCGTTCCACCTACAACAATTCCGCCAGTGGATTTATAAGTTCGTGTCAATACAACTGTATCTGAAAATGTTAGTGGGAAACCTTGGAAATGAATGGAAAAACAATGCAGTCAGTGTTAGAGTAAAAGTACTTAGTGTGGGAACGATAAACATGGCTAAGATCGATAAAAATATTTTAGTGACCTTGGTTCTAAATCGTTAAGTGAAGATACATTTTTCCGAAGACACCTGAGATCCATTGAATGGGCTATAATCCCTATTTTGACACAGTTCACTTTAGTGGTTAAGCCGTTCTTTATTGTCAAGTGTATTTGCTAATCTGAAGTAGTATTGTATTGTATTGTATTTGTATTTGTATTTCTACCACTGTAAGCTAAAATCTAAGGTCGTTTAGCAGGTTTCCTGAAGGGACGTCCTAGCGAGATGTGTGAACTGAGGTGCATTGTGTATACCTGAGTTGTAGTGGATTCCATATTTACTGCTAATTCGGCAGTTCATAATATTTCTCATGCTTAAATGTAACTCATACAGTGCAATTCTCAATGGGAAGATTCCGGTATTCTGCACAAAACACTGAACGTCCTAGCTGTGACTAATTCATTCATCTGTAATACCTGGAGTTTGGTGCACGGAAAGTGAGTGTTTCACGTAGCTTGTGCGCAAAATGCTTGTTTTGAAATTTTCTCACAACTCGTTAGACCACGTGCGCCAAATGCTGGTGCGGCGCTCGTTGATATGGTACGATCTCCCATTTTCGAATGTTCGTAAATGGCGTATGTCATCACGTTTGTATTTAAAAATGGTGACAGTAGCGTGTAGCTTAAATACACACAGATACTCCTCATAAGCTTCAACTTCAATTCATCATTAGAAAAACCCTTGTCCAAGTTTCAAGGAAATGACGATCCGACGAAGCAAAGTTAAGTTTTACGTGCCAGATTATCTCTATAATCTTTGAAAACACATTCAAGAGACCGGACGGCGATTTTAACAGATCTGATGTGAGTTTTTTACACATCTATGTCCCTTCAAAACATTGTTTACTATTTCCACGCGAAACGATGCTTCCGTGGACCACATTTTCGTTAACAAACCATCTTTTATCCATGCCTTCAAACGTGCACCAGTAGACAAATCCGATCACTGTCTAATTGGAGTTTTACGTACAATATATGGTAAATGCAAGCAACAAATCCTGATGGAAAACGATGCACAGTAAGATACGTTCACGACAGAATCACCTCACCAATTTGATGGAATTAAGATCGATGGTTGGCGGTAAGGACTAACAACAACTTTTCGACCCTGATATTTCAGTCTTGTGTGAGAACCTTACCAATTACCTCAAATATTGTTATGATGTGTGCTGCCCTCAGGAAAGAATTCATCATTGGATTCAGCTCCGATAGACTGGAAGGGTTACGAAGGCTGAAAGATAGGGCGTATCGCTCGAGAGATAAACTTACGGTTAAACCTGTCAACTTTCACATTATAGTCTAGATAGACCATCCCAATTAATTTTCTGCTGACACCGTGCTAGGAGACAATTCCTGCCATCAGCTTTGGAACGGACTGAAGTTGCTTTGTGGTTGATCAACTTCACCTACTACAGTCTCATGTGATATCAATGAGTTCAACAAATCATTTTCGTCAGTGAAAAACGTTGTGCAAAGCTTTACCGAGTCCAAACACAACGTCACTTGATTTCCACCTTTCTGTGTCTGTCAAAATAGTACAAATTTTAAAGGAGTTAAATGTTGTCAATGGAAATAAAACCGCTGGTTCTGATAGGTTATCCCCAGTGATCCTTAAAACATGTGCAAACCACCTAGCACAAACCGTTTCATTTATTCTTATTACATATCTTTCAGAAGGAAGACTAGTTAACACATGGCGTGATATGCTCCTCACTTCAGTACCCAAGAAAAAACAGGGTATACTTCGGTCTATTGTATCATCTTGAGTATTACTTAAGATTTTTAAGCTTATTATTATTAAGCACCTATCGTCTAATCTTGACTTTCGTAATTCCAATCACTTTGCCTATTGTAAGCAGTGCTCTACTTTAGATGCGGTTGCTTGTTTTCCATATTCTGTTTTATCCACTATAGACCAAAAGCACAACATTGTTCATGTTTGTTTCTTGGACTATACAAACGCATTTAACTCTGTCGACAGAAACATCCTATTGACATAGTTACGGCGAAATAATCTCCCGCCAAATCTTTTGAATTGGATGCATGACTATTTGACCGACCAAGGCCGATTCACTGGTTACAATTTTATTAGGTCTTCTACAGTAACTGTAAACCAGGATGTAATGCAGGATGCAATTTTATCCGCTTTTCTGTTGTCTTGGATATTCACAATTTGCCAATCACCCCAAATGTTTTTAATTTTAAGTATGTCGATGACATAGTAGTTGGTGGTGCATCTCACAACAACAACAACAACCCTTCAACTAACCCCCTTCAATCAGACATAAGTTCCATTTCTGAATGGTCCGATGGTGACGTTTACCTTTCTTCAAACCTCAATAAATGTATTGAAGTTTTTTCTTCCATTGACCGTAGGCCATCAACTGTTTCTGTTCCCAATATCCTGATCAATAAGTTGATCAATAAGGTTGAAAGGTCAAAATACTTCAAATATCTGGGATGTTTCGTGTCTACTGACTCAAAGGGTCCTGTTACGTAGAACAAACATTTCTTAAACTCAGAAAGTTGACCATTCATATTTCACGCATTCGGCATCTGAGGATGCTATTGTACATCATCTCCAAATTTATTTGCTCATGCGTTTTATGCCGTTGGACCTACTGCTCTCCCGTGATCTTTCTCGGTTTACTGTCTAAGGATTTCATAATAATTAGACGCTCTCTGAAAATCATCTCTAGAAGTGGAGCTATATCTGACGATGAGCTGGTTGATTGCATAGTCAACCAAAACCTGAATGCGGATGAGCATCACATCCCTTATAAACAGCCCTATCTAGCTCCATTTCACTTTCTGTAACCCGCAACAAATTTAAACCTTTATATACTCGCACCACTGCTTTTCATAAATCCGTTGTACCTTACCTTCCACGTTTGTTGGTTTCTAGGGAGCGACTATCAACCGAACTCACACACAGTCTGATGTGAATTTCCACGCTGAAAATTTCTTTACTTTATAATCTTTTTATAATCAATATCGTCTCGGTAACTATCTGTCATATCTTTAAGCTCATTTTTAATAGCGCGCAATGTCAAAGCAAATGCGATAACACTTTTCACTGAAAATTCTGTCCACATTGGATGAACAAAGTGCACGCTTGACTTGACTTAACTTGTATGAGAGGTCATTATGAGAGAGCGATATCAAAAAAAGAAGCTCACAGAATTGGGTGGAATGAATTTCTAGTCAACGATGCATTCAGTATAGAAATCATCTCTAAACTAAGAGCATATAATTAGACCGACCGCATAAAAGTCATCACAAGTCATTATGTTTCTATGTTCATCCGCCTCAGTTTTCGCAAATATTGCTTCCCTTTTTGTAAAGGAATCATTTTTAAGACGCCCTACTGACTTGTTCGGAGTTTCTGACTTGTTCATAAATGGGTCTAACAAATCCTCCTGAACCTAGGCTTGTTAAGGTGATCATCAATGGCAATTGCCTTTTTGGAGGATTAAGGTTGACCAAAAATGACTTTTTATTATTGCATCAAGAATTTCTCCTCGCAATGACCCTCATTTTATGAAATTATCTCAAATAACAGAGTAAATAAACGAATTCAATAAGTCGTCAAAAAATTAATCAATGCTTGAACGTGAAAACTTAGAGTGAATTCGTTTTTGATCAATATTCACAAACACATTTACATAACTAGACTCGGTTCACACACACAATGTCCTTACTGCACTAGGATGTAATTAGATAACATGATGTTCGTGAGCGGCACTCAGCTAACCTTTAGTCACATTCGCAAGATGTACTCATGTGACCTATATCCACATAAGAGGTTTGGTAGCCCTAACGGTTCACTGCATTCTGAGCTACTAAGATATGTTTCGAATATGAATGATAGAAAGTAGGATAATAAATCGGTTATCAAAGTGACTAACCCAATGATTTTTTGACATTGCGACGAAATATTATCATGAGGAAATATCTCATTTGCTGGCGGGCGTACTCTGGTCTTCAATATAGAAATCACTACATCACATCTACGAAAGATCTCAATATGTTGAAAGGTAAATGTAGAGGTTACTAGAATTGTGGGACTTATCTTTCACTCGGGAACCTAATAACGAAGCTAAAGACATCTATTTTATCATTAGTAGGGACTGAAATAGAATACATTTCTTGTCAAGCGAATCATTCAAGTGACATCTATTAATTTAGAATAGTTCATCTAACCATATATTGTTATTCGTTGATGCTTATTAAAGTGAATTGATATTACAAAGATTTTGCATACCTCGTTAACAATGTACATCTTTGATTTAATAATACATCTGGAACCAAGTGATGTTAGGAGTGCATCGACAGGTCGATGCAGAATGTATTATTTTATTGTGAACGTTATAATGATAATAACGAAGCGATGTCGCTAGAAAATTATATTCGCCGACGATTCGGTTACTGTGCGAAACCTTTTCGTTGTTTGTAAAAACCTGCCTTGAGAAAGGTTACTAACGGTAACCGAAACGTCGGCGAGTATAATTCTCTGCGAAGATTGCTTTGTTATTATCATTATAACATTTGTAATACATCTCTGTTTGTTTGAAGTCATCACACAGCTTTGCACTTATTCATAGTTTCCAATGAGACAGTTAAAAACTATCGAACTCACCTCTATTGAACGTTTGAACCGTTTTACTGCCATCACACGTTCCGCAAGTCTTTTCTCGATTACAATACCGATTTCCTTCAAACGGTGTATTTTTTCCTGAACGGTGCCATGGTCAACGTACTGGNCAGATCCTGCCAGCCAGCGACGAGTTTCTTCCAAGAGATCACTGAAAATTCGTTGCTCTTCATCCGTAACAAAAGTATTCAGAGGACCTTGTAACTTGGTGTACATATCTGAAATGTAGTCCTCAATTATTTGTCTACTGATCGACTTCTGTTTTCTAAGTTTTGGTTTGGGCTGTTTGGGAGTGACAGTAAAATGCAAAGGTTGATCAATACCGAGTGAATAACTTACTTTCCGCTCATTTTTGGCAATTCACTATGCAGCATAAAATTAAATGTTAATAGGAATATAATGCTTAAAAGCCCATTCGTCTTTTTTCCTTAATCCGACAATAACTATTGATGTTTTGCTGCCTCAAGTCTGTATCACAGGTTATGGTAACCACAAATCCCTTGAGAGTTTTATTAAGTGTGTAAAAACGGTTTTCTAAGGAACGCTCATTATTCAGCTAACCAATCGTTCTCCANAGCTAACCAATCGTTCTCCATGCGCAATGAGTATGAAATTTTTTCTCCAATGTGGGAGCACGTGGCTAGGTTTGATTGAAAAAGTACCTAAAATATCTTTTGGAAAATGTGGAATAAACTTCCCCTCTAGTATGATTCAATAGTCTTCTTTTACCTAGATACTCCAATAGAGCTTCGCACGGGTGGTATATTGTATTTTTTGCTTGCATTGATTGAATCTTTCACCAGTTTCTTTTAATCCTCAATTATTTTGATCAGATACGTTAATTTATGTTCTCAGATATCGCTGATTAGTTTCTACTGTTCAACCGGAATAACATAATATGCAAATGTAAACTAAGGAACGCACCAGCATTAGTAACCAGATGGTGTGTAAACCAAAAGTCTGAGTTTCATCCCAAAGACATGCGGCGCAATATTATCTTTTTTGCATGTATAAGAAATTCAGGAAACTAAGAAATTGCTATTTTCACGGTAATATCTCATTTTTGGATGGTTGTAGATAATAATTTACTCTTACTTATTTAAGAGCCATCAGCATTTTCGCATTATCTCTTTCCACAGGTAGGGATACGGATGCAGATACACGTTTTTATTGCTATCGTTCCGGATGAAACATTTTAGTGAAACTTCATTCCAGATGTACACTTCTCATGCACATAAAATCATTGCATGAACCCTTAAAAAGCATTCAAATATTGCCTGATTTTAACCTTTAGTTGTTTAAGTGAAAAAATTAACACAATGCAGAAACTAAGAAAAGTAAGCATTAAACAAAAGAAAAATAAGCGATAAATATTTATCTAGTCGAAATAGCTATGCTCATGTATTAAGTGACCGATGATTTTTATTTCAAAGCTCTTTATTTTACGGCTCCGATTTCCTCTCAGACCAAGTGACCCATTGTCTAGGCTTGTTTCTCCTTTGAAACTGTCAGTCAAGCACAGGTTGCTCGGTTAAGCTGGTTTGCAAAGAACCCAAGCGGCGCAACCTGTGGTGATTGAATCCCAAACCTATAAACCAGGGAGTGATCAGATCAATCGGTAGGACAGGTTACCAAGGGGTGTTACTAATGCATTGCGCCTTACAGCTTCCTCAAAATGCGCACGACTGCGAAATTCGGGATGCACTTTTCAATTTCACCATTGTTTTACTTCGCTTATAATTTTTCAGTGAAGATAGAAAAAACACTGGTTAGTGCCCAGGATGCTTGATCACAAGTGAAGTCCAACAGAAGAATTACGATTGTGCTCGGCAAATCGTTCATGTAAATTGACCAGTGGAAATTTGGGAAAATTCTTCTAAGTGCTACCTGTGCACATAATTACAGACAGCCCATTCCAGTTCACTAACTTGTGTTCTTCCTAATTGGGGCTTACAGTTATAATACTTCCAGTCTTATGACAATCAGACTAAAGGCAATTTTACGTTCTTCAGTTCAGTGCTCACAGTGTTGGAATCGGCTGCTGGTTGCTCCATTAGCTCAATAACACTGTCAGATTGATGAGTCTTTGGTTTTTTGGGTACCTGAACCTGCCTTTCGTAAATAAAATTTTCAGTAAAAGACTGCACATATGTGTATATTTTGATATGATTTTCATCTGATTTAATTTGATCTCTTTTAGCATGATGCTCGAGAAAATAATGTTCATAACGAATGCAATTAGTTTGGGAAAATAACTAGAGCAGGCGTTCATAAATGCAAATCGATGTAAATATATTTGTTCTAATCTGTCTAGTTTTTCATCATCGTCAGAAATATTGAATAAATGAGCTTAATTAAGCCTTCTGTTTGGAACTGGTAGAGTAAATTTACACTGAGCAAGCAAGTAAATTTGCATATGATAGGAATAGTAAACGCCGTGGCCGGTAACATTTTCGTGTTTTCTTTTCTTCCTTTTTCTCTTTATTTACGTTTACTTCGACAAAAAACTCGGTTTTCCTATTTCCTGGGAAATCAACAACTTCCGTACGTCTCGATTGAGAAGGATCTGGCGTCATTGTTCAAGACGACCCAAGCTGTTCTTTAATAGGCTCCCGGGAGTCGTCTACCACTGTAAGACATGGTTTGCTAGAACGGGTATTTGGCAAATTCTAACCTACGCTGTTCCAACGATTGTCATCAGCCTACATTCGATCCCACATAGAGTACGCCATTCAAGCAAGGAATACATGGCTGCAATGCGATTAGAATATTCTGGAACGCTCACAAAGAATGGCCATTAAAATTGTCAAACCACTGCATTCCAAAACATATGCAGAAAGACTGGAGGCACTGCAACTGTACTCCACACAGTATCGCCGCATTCGAGGAGACTTGATCTTCGTATACGAAATAATGCAGAACCCAGACCACCCATGTTGTCCACTGTTTTCCTTGTCGCCAACACTCACCAACGGGGGGGGCACTCATTCAAATTAGTGCTCCAAAAATGCCGACTAGAATGCCGGCGTCATTCATTCGCCCTCACAGTGCGCATTACCTGGGATTCTCTACCACCATATGTTGTTTCTGCGCCCAAAATTGATTGATTCAAGCACAAACTGGATGAAGCTTTGAAAAGTCTTAAATACCACCATCAGTAGAAGCGCACGAAAAAAAGGACAAATTGTGACATTCATCTACTTTGTATGAACTGTGAACCGATTCATCTGTGCCAAATCCTATGGGACTAGAAAAGCAACCGATAATAAAACCTCGACGTTGACCTCCTTCAAAGTTTCCCAGTCAACAAAAATGCCTGAAGGACACTTTGGAATATGAGAGTCCAATACTGATTAGTTGAGGATACTCAACCATTTAAAAACAGTGGAAAATTGGAAATTAATCACATTGTGTTTCCTTCGGTTATATAAACTTTCGGAACAGGTAAAAGTTTTCATCCAGGCGCTGATAATAATTTATCTGTGAAAATCTTTTTCTGTTTCAAAGAAACATTTTGCCCATTTACAGTAATCAAAAAAAGCTTTCATATAATTCCTGATTCTTTTCCTCTACTGAATACAGAATCACCCTAATTTTTTCAGCTGGGTATTACTCTTTTTACTATGATCTCCGAAACAGCTATCTAGGACGCCAAGTCATTCGCACATAGGAGTTGATCGCCTAAAAGTTTTCATACATAAATGCATATTTTTGGATATCAAAGTATAGAATTAGATAATGTGGTCTTGATGATTGAAATTAATACCAACTAGCGTAAAAAAATAATAAGATCGAACTGTCAATAAAACTATGGAATGCTTCAAAGTCATAGGAATGGTAAATGTTAACACTGCTGTAGAAGTCTCTGAATGTCTTCGTATAAAATAACAGCTGATAAACATACCCGAAGAGTTGTCTGAACCGCGTAAATGGCAATCAGCTTGCATGTGAAATTTATCCTGATATATATATATACATATATATATATATATATATATATATATATATGTAATCGCATGTGTGTGCGGTCGGATTCACTAAACTCACTGCATTTCAAGTCAGAACATCGGGAATAAGCGAACCCATGAAACGTTTTCAGAAATATGCCTCATTTTAAGGTACAAGTCAATGTTCTAATTATCATCGCTTCCACTCAGTGAGGATGCATGTGATCTGTTTACTATTGCCTGAGTTTTCCTCATTATGTTTTGTTAAAAGAATGCCTTTTTTTAGTACTCCTTATATTTGCGATGCGAATCTCGGAAATCTTGGGACGACTGTAATAAACCATGTTTTTACTCCACATGAATCACCTGGTGTACTGCGCTTCTTAAGTCACCAGCATACCTGTTTTAGTTATATATGAAATTATATGACACACGTCTAAAGCCAGACTGTATTCCAAACAAATCATGGTACAATACTCTCTAAAGAACGGAAAAAGGTTCTATAATTGGATGTGCGCTGAATACCGCCAGGTTGCCCAGGCCAAGGCAAGTGAGTTTTCTTACGAAATCCACAACCGGAGCCTTCGGATAGTCAAAGCCTGACAGGTAGCGGTGCGGTGTAAAAACCGCTATCCTTTGGGAACCGGTGTCCAGTTCATCGGATCATACGTCGTTTGGACGAGGTCAGATGTCCAAGATGCCCAATACACATCGATACCAAATTGAGATGGTGACCAGTGCCGCCACCTGTTTTAGTTTGGCGTGATAATCGAACGTTTTTCAACAGTTTTCACCTATTAAACCCAATGTATTTGATCGTCATAGATCAAGTATAGCATCAACATACGAACACGTTGATTCAAGTTTAGTGTTTGCGTCAATTCAGGAATTTATATAAACTGTGTAAAGCTTTCCATTGATGGCATTCATTTGTTAGCGGTATATCTTGTCCATTTGAATTCACAGAAATGTTGGATAACACAAACGATCACTAGAAATCAAGAAGCATTATTCATTCAATCATCGGATGAACTCAAAGTCAGTTTTACTCACCTTTCTGCGTCTCCCAGTTTTGATGCATGTTAGAGGCAACTCAGGTACCTTCGGCATATCAGAGCCTTCTAAATCGGCCACAGATATCCAAGCAACTTCCAATGCCTGAAATATTTATGTCCAAGATAGATTTAACACAGATCAATCCCTGATAACAGTCAGCAGTAAATAAGAATCAACTCTACTGTCGCGAGTTCTCGTGGTTCTCTTGAGTACTCGACTACGTAGTTTGGGGTATCCAATGTTATCAGACTTCAATAAACTCAAACATTCTGAAGCTTACAATATTTTCAGAACATGGTAAATTAGGTTCCTCTAAGTTTACATTTATTATTAGATAATGACCCCAAACTCATTAATCACAGTTTAACTTCACCAGTTCAGCTAACATAGAACAAGAAAAGACTTGATAGCAAATGAGGATTAAATCAAAAGCCGGGAAACCCAGACATTTGTTCTACATAAAAGAGTCTAAGACCCAGCGGAAATTCATTGATGATGGATGATGATGGCTCAGTTATATCTTCGGTAAACTTTCACCCCGGAGAACGTGTATTCAAATCCCACCATCAACGCCTGACGTTCCCCCTTGTGTGTTGTAACGCAACCCTTTGATTGACCGCTCGTCTCTGTATCAATGTATGCAGTAAAAAGAAACAAGAAAGAAAAAAGAAAGATTCGGATATTATCTTACCCTGGACCCCAGATTTAGAACGAGATTACACTGCCCGAGTTTCTCAGTTGACAACTGGTAACTAATCAGATCAATAATTTATTTTGTTTATATACGAAATAACACACCGCATCTCTGCAAGTGTAATGCAGACATCACTTCCTTACAATGTCACCACTAACGTTTGAGGTTTTAACTCAGTTGTTAAAATTCCGAACCTGACTGCGTCTGATTTGAGTTTAGTGTGAGGTTTAATTTGATTCTGTGGCAAACATTTTCATGTACAATACAAATGAATAGTGTATCAAAATGCTAGAAAGCCACGATAAATCGATTCGTAGTTTCATTTGCTTAATGAACGAGGAAATTTCCTGTATTATAAAATAATTGTCGATTCCAACAAGTATGAATTAAGTCAGTTGGAGTAACTCATTCTAGCCATCAGATAATGTTTTCCAACTATGTGCAGATTACCATTAATTATGGTTACTGAAATCCGAGGACTAGCGAGTGCCCAATAAATAAGTATTTCCCATGCTGCCGATTAACTGCTATAACCGCTGGACAATCCATTTTAAGTGACAATAGAAGATAATTTACGAGTAGCGTCCTAAGAGATAAATGGTCTTGTGATACACACCACGATCCTCATGTTTCCCGATCGATGGGCCACACAACCATAGCGGTCGATACCTCTGACTACGCCAATGAAGCTGTATAATATCGGTACATTCCTGGGACATTGCGAATTTAGGCGTATTTCGTACTGAATATCAATCTCTCTCTTACAGCGTTTCATTCTGGATGAACCGAATGACCTGTTTCAACCTTTCATCGCAACCGTACTGCGTTTACTTACCGCCGATAAAGAACAATGATCGTATTTGGACGAAACGTTTTCTACAATATCACATGTCGGTACCATCGCTGTGCTTGATGCTCAAATTGACCATGCGCATACTAACAGTGTCGGGCACTTACCCCATTCTCGTTTGTATTGCTAAGTTTACAGGATGTGCTACAGCTGTTGTCATCCCCACTGTCACAATTGAGATGTTCAATCAAAATTATTTTAAACTTTATAGAATAACCTGACATACTTGTTCGTGTACGGTCACCTTTGAAAAAGGATGAAAAATGGAGTTTGTTCTGTTTACCTCCATTATTCATTGCTGGATGAGAAACGCATCCGGCCTAATGCTTACCCACCAGGATTCAGCCTTTTGATCAATATTCTTATTAGCCAATTAGAGGCTGCCATAAAGGTACTCGAAAAGCATGATTAGAAGGCATTGCGAACTTGCGTCCACCTTGAAATGATAACTTGTTTAATGGCAGTTATATAATGTTCCGCCGTAGAGATTACACTGGGCACATCATTAAGGCAGTCTGCTGAATCGTTCACACCACGGATCACTGACGATATCGGTGATGCGCTTATCGTTTAGCATGTTCATCTATCTACGGCGCAAACTGCAATCCCAAAGTGACAATTATTTTTGTCTTCATAAAACTCATACTGTTTGCACGTATTCGTTCCGGTGGATGCGGTACATTAAGGTTTAGACGAAATTTGTGAAGGACCCTTTGGTGTGAAAGTTTCGTCAAGATAAAGCCATCGATGTTAAATGAATACGGGTGCGTCATTATGATTTGTATGATTCGTCGTGAAGGAGGATTCGCCAAAGAAAATCTTTTGCACGCTGAATCTTGAATATCCGCCTATCTTTTTCCATCTCTCTACGAGATAGTGGCTTCGCAGGTAGGCTCACAATACTCTCAGCTTCCAAGAATTTGAACAAGGCACACATTCTAGTCACCATCTACGATACGATTTCCGTTGAGGTAACTGTCTCTTATTCAAACCCAATAAAACGGAACAACTTAAATGAGGTAATTGATGCGTCCAAGTCGACAGTCTATCGCTGAGAGACTTCTGCTTCACGTTATTCTTGTCAGATCGTTCAACATGCACGCTTTTGCGCCTAAGTGAAACTCAAAACGTAAATAATGTTTGAGGAAGAAAACCACGACTAACGCTAAGTGCTTGTTATGCGTACTGACTCCTCTTTCATAATGAATTTGCATGCATTTACCTACTGTCTGCCAGTGTCCCATCAGTTATTTCTTCAGCAAATGATGTGAGTGACATGTGCCCTGACTACGGCACACATAGTTCACATATTTTGGGATGACGTTTTGGTTTAGTTTTTGACAGCGATGTTTGAATTGGCTAAACAACGCACCTTTTGATATGCTTATCCATTCATATGAGACTCTCGTTACCCTAGCAGACAAAATTTAACTATAGTTCGGGTGTTGTTCTGTCATTCGATTTGGTCAATGATGCTGCATGCCAGATGTGACGGGATGTTTCAACTCTTTTCCCACTCGTGAACAGCTCATGCACATGACTTCGTTTGTACGTAAATGTGCAAGCTGACTTTTTGTTGCCCGCGTCATCAATTGCAGTTACTCTGGTAATTTTCAATGTTCAATATACCATCAGGTGCAACCAACCGATTGTTTCAACGTCTGTTGGTCATTGTCCTCGATAAATTGCAAAAAAACTTTTTTCGGCGGATTATTTTTGTGTATCAATAATGGTTGACTAAGGGAATTGAGAGTTGCCCGTAACCCCGTCTTTTAGCTTTTTACACCGTTTTGGATAGACAACGAGCAAGTAAGTGACTTTGTCCTTATGGCTAGCCGTAGGTCACCAGCTCAAGGATTGCCGTCGCCATCTGCACTTGTCACTTTTGTAGTTATCCAGATGTATATACGTGAATGGCGTTCCTCTTTTCAACGTGTTCGTATGGCGAGGCGTATTAAGAAAGAAGCAAAGTACTAGAGTATTACTATTATTATGCCTATAAATAGTTGAACCTTGCTTTTTGAAAGTAAATTACTATACAGACACACTATTGTGCTCAGTCTATAGTTTACAAGTATTGATTTAAATCGTTAGACATGACACTAAATTGCAATATATATTTCAGATTTCAATACGGAAATCGTACACAGATGGCAATGCAAAGTGAATACCAAAGGGCATTGCGTCGTGCATAGGGCAAATAAAACCTGAAATAAAGAGCTAGGTAGCACTTTCTAGCTGTTCCGACCTGGTTGGGCCTTATAGCAGGGCGAATCCATCGACCCCTCTGGGGGCCGAACCCGAGACCTCATCTTTCATAATGCAGTTACGGTACTCTCCCAGTCATGGGACATCCTAACTGGCCGTTTCTCATTTTCCATCTACACTATATAGCACATCGAAACTTTACGAGCTTGTTTTGGGCACCGCGACCCGCTCATCCCATGAGCCTGTTTATTCTGGGCAATCCGATTACTCTAAGGCCCATTTTTTCCCCCTACTATTAACTGGGAATGAACCGATAAATTATAAACTATTATTATTTTTCAATTTAAAAATGTTTTCAGACAATTTCTCACGTGCAATCTATTATCATGAATCTTATTAAGAACCTGTTCACAGTTTTGAAAACAGAGATAAGTCAGCTGCTTACAGAACGGTCGTTATACTTCGCAGTGTGAGCTTTACCGCAATTGGATTGCCAATTTTGTGGGCTGCAACTCAAAAATACTGACGCAATTATTCAGGACTAAACTTGTGAAACATGGTATTGACCAAATGGGGTTATGAAAGCTGTGCAGTTCCTATGAGTCCACTTTGTAAAAAAATAATTATGACATTTGATCAGAGTTTCGGTTATCTTACAAATGCTGCGACATCCACTCTATCAAAATACAGAAATATCGCTGCATAGAGCTGTTAATTATTAGCAGCAAGAACATACGTGGATAATGTTGTAGATATTCTGTGTCTGATATGGAGTAAAACCAATCCCATGAAGGAAGATCTAAATGCCTGGGGAAGAGGTCTGACGAAAGTCACGATGTCGCACCAGTTCGATTAATACCTGTATTGCTTCTATTTCCGAAAAGTTTCGCATCAGCGAATGCAGAAAATCCATTACTCAAGAAGTTTTCTATCGCTTGCGGTTAGTTAGTTGTCCTTCTTGAACAAACACACAGAGTTCTAATCACAATATTGTGAATTAGTTTCCTCTCTCACAGAAGTGAAATCAAACATGACAGTTTGCATGTTGCCGGTCCAACATTTTTATTGAATCCCTCGCGTATTTGATATATCCACGAGGCTGAAAAAAATACGCTTGCAGTTATGAAACGCTGTTGAGCTTCAACTCCAAAACAGATTGCCTAATCCCTCGAATCCTATGATTTGAAAATATTTTGGATTATTGGAGATGCCCAGTGTTGAAATCATATAAACGAAAGCACACTACTACCTTCGATATGCTTTGATAAGCCTACACCATGGACGAGTGTCAACGTAACCCATAAAACTACTGCCTAATAGTAAATTGATGGAATTTCCGATGCGCATACATCCATCTTGGCAAGCCAAATAATCATCCAATATGAAATGCGTATTGTTAATGTACAAATTCATCAACTTTTGCTATTTCCAACAGCTTTTTCAATTTCACCTTCCGTTTGTTCAAACGTGTGCATGTGCAAGTTACCGGTCAAGTTATCGGATAAGATTTTCAGCATAAACCCAAGGTTGTGGCCGTATTTCGTTTCATTTAGTGAGAAAAAACCGTAACCAATTCTTTTTCTTCCTGAAATCAGTCTGGAGATTTCAACACGGGCAGGACATCACGTGTGCATTCCTACCAGACAAGAACGAATTCTAGAGTTTTCGAAGTGTTTGGTTAAGTAAATAGTGAATAAATATGAAATCATTGAAAATTTTATTTCCAATTTGAAGATACATAAGGTTGAACGTGACAATGCGAATGCATCATTTCATATTCCGACGCGTTGATACAACGTGTTGTGTTTCGGGCACCACGGAAAGATTTCTTTTATATTCCCAAAAGACAATTTTTCAGACGTGGGTTCATCACTGGCCATCCTAATGTAGCGATTTGCGGTTTTCGGCGGGCCCCTTTGTAAGAAACTGACGAACTTTTATCACATGTTATTTGTGAAGTTGACTAAAAATATAGGAAGGCTTTAGGATCAGCGTGTTCAGAACACCATTTACTCTGACCAACACCGTTGCACAATATACTAGATGGTTAGAGAGTCATGCAAAATGGATCGGTTTGTTACATCGTCATCCGATGCAAACGTCAGATGCGACGTCCATATCCAATCCGTAAAATATAGGAGTTTCGAATGAAGCTCAGACGGTTTCCTAGATGATCAGTAATAATCTGACCACAATAATATTTCGTCTTCGTAACTTTCCACTCAAAAGTGTGTTTTTCCTTAGTGAATCTCTCAGGCAGGCCTCTTTGTGGTTTTCATAATCTCCTAATTCTCAAATGGTATGCGTACCCCCAATTCACCGAAAGAATCAACGCTATATCTAATTACGGCTACCCTATTCAAAGCCTAGATGTGCCATACGGAAAATTGAACGCTCACCTACTAAAGTCTGTGCAATGACAAAAGGAACGTGCGAACAAGTTTCACGGTGATTCAGCCGTCAGGTATTCATTCAAGCTTATCAAAACTCAAGCGAAAGATTGAACTTATTATTTTCCAGTCACATTCTGAGGACCAAAAACAGCAAATATCTGAGGCAAGAAATAAAACTTCTCTGTGAAAAGGAGAATCTACGGTCGGAGCTAGACGTGAATGTTGATCATCTCAGTGCCACATTCCTGCGCCAGTCATCGGACATTCTTTCGGCCTACTCCTCACATAACATCTGTAAAGTGGAACCATTCTCATATTGTGATGTGTGAATGCTTTTATAAAGTTGCCATTAGTCTTCTGCTGCAGGCCAGGATTATGCACCTACCGCAGGCTTCAGATTTGGCGCTGCTTACCGAGCTGGGGCAATCAAATCGATTGAAAATCAACGTATGCACAGTTCTCCTATCGCTGACTGTCGGACGCCGGTCACAAACATAAACAGCCCCGGAGCAAACCAAACTGCTGAACTTTTCAAACGTTTTCGAGGAATAGCGTTACAACCTTCAAATCTTAAATTGACTGGAAAGACAATCCTCAATTGCCTTCAGCCATCTATAAACATCACCAGTAATATTTTACAGTTTGGATACAAGCCTAATGGATCCACCTTGGACGCAGTCTCCACCCTTATCCATTTTGTCACAAAGTCCTTGAAGAACTCTGTTGGGTCTATTCTGTATTTTTCTCTGGACTACTTATCATCATTTGATTCCATTCCACGATCAAACTTGAATTTGACGAATGCGTCAAGCAATTGTTAGCTTGGCTATCGGACTATTTACTGATAGAGTACAGACCAATAGATTTGGAAAGGCTTCATCTTAATCCTCAGTCAGCAACTCCTGAGTTCTTCGAGGAGCTTTGCTATTCGCATATTTATTTTCCACTTGTACTTGCGTTATTCCTTCTGTTTCTCCGGCAAGTATGTTTGAAGAATGCAGATGGCATGGTGCTGCGCCAACCCATTTCTTCTTACTCCGATCCCAAGTCCCTCGCCTGCATTCTTGATCAAACATTACCACTCCCCTATTAATCGAAATTTACCCTAAACCTCAGTATATATGCTGATTCTGTATATAAGAAGGCTGGCACTTCTATTCCGACAAATCACACAGTGGTTGATCTAGGGTGGACTGTGTCCAATAGAGCGAATATGGCAAAATGCAGTAATTTTCATTGGTCAATCCACATCCACAACTGTACGGGTAAACTGCGGTGCCCCTCATTTCCAATTTGTAAACTGAGTCAATTTTGTGCTTCCCAGTTAGTTATTTCTAACTTTTCTTATCCGTGTGTTTCTCCCAGGGTATTTAACCGTTCCAGAGTTATGTTTACCTACTTACTCAAACAGGATTTCAAATTTATACATCACAGTCCAGGTATTATTATTCGTATCCCTTCCTTTCCTGTAATTGAGTTATTCCGAAATATGCCTACACTCTTTTTTAATAACACAATTTTAGGCAAAGAATTGTTCGCTTGAAATTGTGTTCTTAATGAATTATCTTTAATGCTTTCAGTGTATCACGTTTTTCCTGTGTAAAATTCGCTAAGTGGATTCTCATAGTCTCGGGCCATTCATTACGCGCAGACCTGATCAGTTGCCTTTCCAATCACTCCACGTGCTCCAAAGTCCACCAAATTTCATCTCGAATTACCGCTAGGCACAATTCACTTATGTTGTATATTACACGTTGACTCACAAGCAAAGAGAGAGCATTAAGTGAACTGTTTTTACCCTTGGACCAATAAATGTCCCCATGTCTATAACAATATACTCATCGTTGACTATGTACTTTGTGACGGTTTCAGTAGTTGACTGTAACTGCAATGTGAGCTCCAGTGCGCGCAAAAGTTTTTCACATTGCAATGCAAAACAATGGAAACAAGGCACTCAGTATTATTATTATCAGCGAAGTGATTTATAACCAGCAATCCTCGTTGTTCAATCTGGCAAACAAGTATTTGGCACCACCGAGAAAATAGCAGTAAAGGTTATAATATATCTACAACTGATTGCTTCAATGAAGAGGTAAAGATTTATTTTCCCCAAGTCAGACCAGAAATATTCTTTGCATCGGCAACAGGATAATTGGAGAGTGTTTTTTCAGTAGACATCACGTTGATCCATTCAGTCATATAGTTGATGTATTTTCAGGCACATGTGATTCAATCCAAGCAATCCAGCAATTTAGGGTACCACTCTCACTTCTCTTGGCCGTAGATTTGTTGATGTTTATTGTGCAGAAAATACGAACTGCGAAGATTTCTATGACCATAACGCAATTCTTATTTCATTATTCAGCTTTCTTCTGAATAAGATGCCGCAGCTGAATTGGTTAGTAGAATCTTATTCGTGGCCATGCACTAAATTCAGTTCTGGGTTCTTCACATCGCCAAACATTCAGAGTCATACTAAATTTAGACTGTCTGTGATCTATAAATATGCACCGAATCAAGAACATTCGTGTCGCAGCCTACATAGATCAAATGGCAATTCAGTTATCCCAGAGCACCCATAACGCCAGAACAACTGGACCGAACGTCGCATGAATGAAGCTGCGGCAACATCATGTGTCTTCCACCGCTACCAATAAAGACGAAAAACTCGGGAGAACCGCTGTCAGTCCTCACAATTATTCGTCGAGTCTCATTGCTTCACCTGAGAGTAATAGTATTTTGGAAGTGAGTAACGGAAAAATATTTCTTGAAGCCTAAAGTGCGTGCAAAACAAGATCCTCAGAGAGAGAGCTCTTCGTGAATGATTTCGGACTTCAGAACGAATTTTTCCAAAACATGCTTGCGTATGGTGTGTATCAGTCAGTCAAGACGGATATTCAGTGATGTCTTTTAGTTGCTTGTAGGTAGAAGGAAGTAAGTCGTTGGTTCTCGAAGTGTTATTTTTCGTGTGAGCAAGACTATTTGGTCTTGCCCACACTCATTCCCGGATTGTTATCAGCGGAGTGAGTTATAGCCAACGTTCCTCCTTTATCATGTTGATGCAAAAGCATTTAACACCCGTTAAACGGCCTAGGCTGAAATGAAGTCCAACTTAAAATCTGCGTACATCATTACTTAGCATGGTAAAATGTGCGTGTATGCAAACTAGTCGCAGATGAGGTGTATTTTTAAAAAAAATATGTCCTTTACGCTTAGTTTTGTCACTGTGACTTGCACCGAATTTTTTCAACTATTTCTCCATCTTAGACGCTGAACCCTTTTCGAATATTGAATGGATGTCATCAGAAAGAATACTGGGAGCTTTTTAGTTTTCTTACATAACGCACTGGCAATTTTCAATCCCTGATGATTTCCTAACTCATAAGTTCCCGATAATATTCATCATCCCTATTGAGTGCTTTCATTCACATGTTATTTCGAATTGATGGAAATCCAATAGTTATTATCATTTTTCATCATCTATGATGAGATGTCTTGTCATAAAGATGTTCTCAGTCCTCTCCTTGTAAAACAGACTTGATACTATTAGTCCTTAGTAAAACTCATTGATATATAGAATATTCCTCTTGATCTAATCTGCATTGGATGAAGACAATTCCAGATTTACTCATATTTCAATGTGCACACTCGAAAGAAAATAAAACTGACAGCCCATACGTCATATCATCACGGAAAATCACGTTGGCATACCTTGGATAAGCACGAGAAAACTGAACTAGTATCGGTATATTTGGGCCAATTGATCGTGAGCTCGCGCGCAAATAAAGAAACACTTAGGAATAACTGCAGCAAAATGACGATCAGGTGAGATTTTTGATCCGTAGATAGCGTGCTTTTATTTGTTATTATTTTATATGTTATTTATACATTAGAATGGTCACATTATATGAACTAACCTGTTGTTGAGCCACTATTTGGGCAGTTTTGAGGGAAAAATCTTCTTCTGATAATGGCCTCAGCACCTGTTCCTGATACCAATCATCGTAAATCTTTAGCAAGGAATGTAAACCATTCAAACGCATCTGTTTGATCTTATTGGTTGCATTAGATGTGGTTTCTGTTTCACGTTCCAACCAATTCTTCAAGAACTGAAATTAAGTGATACCAACAAATTACTACTGTAATTGGATCGAAAACATAAGTGATAGGACACTTTCAAAACAATGGAATGGCATAACAAGTTATTCCTTATTATTATTTTTGGTCCTCTGTTGATCTAATCTACATGTATAGTCAAGTTATCGACGAGGTAAAGGTGGTTATTGGACACTTGAAAGTATTGTGGAGGTTCACGAATCGGGTGATCGAATCAGGAAGTATGCAGATGTAATATTTATCATTTCGCTCACTTAATTGTAAAGCCAAAACGCAGTTGATGGGTACAGTTTAGCTAAATACGCAACCGATTACTGAATATGATACACATAAACCAATATAAAAGTAAATATCAACAAGCACTGCGAACTGTCAGTGATCATTGTTCATCAGAAAACAAACGAGGTATGATGTGTAAAATTTCTTCGTAGTATTTCTAATTCGAGGTGTATTCCAAGATGATTTCGCCTAGATAACGGGGGCAGCTGCATATGCACCACCAAGTCAGGCGCAATAAAAATCTACCGTTCAAATACCCGTCAGAAAAGTAGACTTGTAGTAGGAATGAGCGCAAAGAACCCAACGAATACTACTCGCTTCACTGAATACTAATAGTGAATAGGTTCCGATTCCAAGTTCGGTTGATGGACTTCTACTACTCGTGTGAATATAGTTGTACAACGCTTCAGAAGTTCAAAACTCATGTTTACATCTCCCTACATATAACATGAATAATCATACAGAAAACGCTTGGGCTAGAGGTATAAGGGAACCATAGGCAGTCTGGGTGGTAACTTTTGATAGTGATACGAACAAAACATTTTGTATTCGCCCAGGGAGCATCTTTATGGTCATGGCCTAAACGTTGCTTGCATACCTGTGTACTCAGTGATAAAAAACGAAGTAAAACATGTATTTTCTTCATAATAATATTGAAACAAAACATAAATCTAAATTATTCTTTGTTTCGAGGTTTGGATCTGAATGATGAAACAAACCGCTGGTCTACGTGCGACGTGATGAGTGAGTGGCTGTGAGAGCACAAGCTTAAATTAAGACTTGTTCAGCAATACTAATTCAATGGAAGAGTCAACTAACTAATGAATGTTATCTTTCCATCTGGAGACAAGAGGGTGATGCAACGCAGGGAAGAAAATGAGATTCATGTGAAAGAAACGAAATGGTATCAGTTTGGCTCTTGAAAGCATGTGCTCATATCTCAGTCAAAACCGATTGTTCAGAACCATCATGTTCAATTTTTACAGGTGACATTCAATTAAATGAGACAGAAATTGCTAGAATTTCATGCCAGTAAGATTAATCACTGATTTTTTCTAATTATTTATTCTGTAAAGTAAAGTCAATTCAAAGTAAGATGTATGAACCCGAAGGGTGAGTTGTCAACGATAACACAGTGGAAGTGGGGAGGTTCGCATCAAAATGGGAATAAGGTAAATAATAACGGCAGCCATCTGCATACAAGATGATAGTGACAGATTAAATTGAAGAAAAATAAATTAATTTGTAAGGCGTTCCACCAGACCTGGAATAATTTATGCTTGATTCACTGAAAGGCTGGAAAAAACAGAGAGGATGCTGTTTCTGTACGTGTCGGTAGTTGCTGAAAGAGGCTTATATTGGGAGCCCGTACGGGTGTATGACATGGATTTAAGAAGTTCCGTTGTGCCAGCAGTGATGTTGGTTGTTCAAGGTTCTATCATCTATTCTTTCAAATGCGTCGATATGTCTGCATACAGTACAATAAACCAGGACAACTCTGGTTATGGCACTACATCGTGATAACATTTTTATGGATCTGGGAATTAATGTGAAAACATTTCCTATCAGGCCAAGAAAAAATACAGGAGAAAGTAAAGCCAATGAGGGAGGATTCATGCTACCACGACTTTGATAATTACGTTGCAGGGAGCATCAAGCTTCCTAAGCATAAAAATACTGTTTACGAACCCCGTTGTAAACGTTTTCTACATGTGTAGTCCAAGAGAGATTGCGGGGTAGAACAACTCCTAGGGACAAGCAGGTTGAATAATTACAGGGAAAAAGAGAAGAGAGCCAAAATGGCGCCTTGAAAGACATCACAGTTAACATAAGAAGACGACGACGTTTTACATCTGCTTGAGCCATATTGCTTCCTTAAAGAGAAGACGTTTACAAGAACGTTTAACGCGTCGGATCCTAAACCGCAGTCAGTAAGATATTGAATGGGTATGTGATAGTCAAGCGAACCAAAGGCGTTGGCATAGTCAAGAAAAAGAAGGCGAACAGTTCTGGCACTTTTATCGAAAACTGAGGCAACAAAATAGACATACGTGATAGCGTCAGAAGTCGAAAAAGCTCGCATATAAACAAACTGAAGAGGATGAAGAGCATCAGAGAGGGTAGTCAAACGGTTCAACAGCACTCTTTCAAATAGTTTCACTCGGGCTGAGGTACATGCAATCGGTCGATATTTTGAATAATCTTTCTTGGGAATGGTCTTATCCAGGCAGCCCTCCAACAATCCAGTAATCGAACAGTATAAAATTGGAACCAGGAGGAGGCAGAAAACTGTCGTTTTAATTATTCTACTTCAGAACAGGAGCTTGCACGTGTGCCACTAAATTGCTTCAAAGCCGACCACATCTTGCGAAAGCTCTGGGAGCCCAGAATGGTCTATACGTACATCCAATGGAAGTGCTGAACCTCTGTCTTGATGGCAATCGATAGTTATTTAACATCGTAGCGCCTGGCATTCATATATAAAAGGGGGTTTTTCCGATAAGATTTTCGGAAACGCTTTCGAGTAAACGGGACCGTGTGAAATGTGCCACTTTAGTTGGTCATTTATTATTTTTTATCAGGTAATATTTTGTATTTTGATGTTAGCTTCCGCTTAAATGTTAGCATATATTTAAAGAATGCATACTGCATCCGAAATGGTTGTTCGAATGAAACTCAATTTCCGAAAAACAACTCACTTGAATTGTCTTTTGCAGATTTTGCAATGCCATGTGTCTTTCATTTATTCTCCTTTCCACTGGGGAACAAATACGGCGCAAAGCGCTAAGCTGCTTCTCGCATGTTCGAACATTAATTGGTGAAGTAGTTCGAGTAAGCCAATCCTCAGTGGCATTTATCATTTCATGAATTCGTTTACGTTCTTCACGAGTGACCACGTTTCGCAGAACTCCGTGCAAATTTATACGCACATTTTGCACATATTCTGATATAGCAGATCGAATCGGGCTGGCATCCAATTTCCGTGATCCTGATTTCTGTTTCGGGAGCTTCAGTAATAGACAACGAGGTAAAACAAACACCATAAAAACAGGTTTATCGGTATGATTCTGATATATTAATAATTTCGTTGTTCATCACTCAGCGAATACGGTAAATCCATCATTCGGCTAACACTAATCGTTCGGTTTCTGTGAGAATGGCGTAGGTGTTTGTGTTATTCTAATTTTCGTATGTATATGCAAACAAAGAAATTTTCCAGACAGTCGAGTGTTGGAAATACCCTTCTGTCTCCAGCGCAGAGCCAAATATTTAATTAAAACTGTACTCGTTTTGAGACACGGCTTCAAAGAAGATGCACCATTCAAGTCATCGAGCTCCCGCCTACTCACAGGAGTCGATTCTCAATTGGTATTCTCCTTCGCGGCGTAGATCAATAAGCAAGCGTTATCCATAGTTACTGTCTAGCGCAAGGACTGCCATTACTCGATTTCGGTTGACTTAAGAAAACTAAATTATCATTTGTTCACAGTGTGCTAATAATGGTCGCCATGGTTGATCGACAAGTACCACACTGTAGATCTTAGGTTTTAGGACTTTGTTTCAACGACATGTTGACACGATATCAAAACTGAGTTGACATGTATCTAGCTTCTAAATAATTGAAAGCCTCCTTCGTCAACTTATGCAATCGGTGAAGCATTTGGTTCCCGATTGATTATTTGGAGACCTCAATCTCAAATGCATGTGAAACATTTTAAAAACGTATGGAAAATTATTGGACATTGCTGTAGCACGAGCTAATACAGAGCTTTCATCTTCCCTTGAGTTCCTTAGTTTACCTATCGAGCGCAGTTTAATTTAACATTTTTCCAAACGCATCAGAGGATCCAAGTGCGGATGCAGAGCTGAGGAACTAAATTATGCAAACAAATCCTCTGCTACTCGCAGAAGCAAAGAAACCCGTGTCTTCAGAGTGCCTTCAAAGTTATCATCAAAACTAGGTTCAAACAGAACTTTTGTGCTCCCGCCATCCTAGTCTTCTATAGAATAGGGACCACATCGTGTACAACTGTTGAAAGAAACAGACATCGAGAACGATCTTCCATTCTTTTTATAATAGCCGGTTACAGTATAAAACACGAAATTCCTGACACACGATAGACAAAACTTACGCATCATCAATGGGAATTGGTAAACTGAACATACTTGGTATGTTACTCCTCTAACGTCGAAGGATTCCTTACACTTTTACACCAGTTAAGGGTGCTTTTCCAGTTTGTTCCGTGGTTATAGAAGCGTGGGTTTTACAGATTGTTCTGTACGCCTTATTTGTATTTGATGTGGCCATTCGGGGATGTGAACATTCTACACGTATTATTAGTGTTTTCGTCTATTTTCAAGACGATCTGAGGTGCAAGCTGATTTATTTTTTCTTCTGGTATCCGAAAAACTTTAAGATAAGCTAGATAAGAGCAGTCTTAGACGAATCAGAGGTTGATCAGGGCAAACTCACTTCATAGATCACCCATTGAACCAGCCATACAGACTCTTCTGCTAACCATAGCAAATATGATCTCTCAAAACGATACCAACATACTAAAATCAGTGAGTTGATTTTCTTCACCAATATGAATAATTAAGGGACAACCGTTCAATGCTCAAGACCACTTTGTGCGGCCGATTAACTAGTTTGAACTCCATCCCTGCATGTGGAATTCCCCTCTGTCTTAGTAAAATGCATTATGATATTACAAGTGGATCAGGATTAACACTTTTCTAATTCGCAGTGACCATTCTAAATTTAAAATATGCATTTTGAAATAAAAAATCTTTCAATGGCCAAATATTTTATTACCCTGGCTCTACTGACGTCGGTGGCCAATGTTAAATGTGTCGACACTTCGGGATTTTATATCCCAGTTTTTGATACATTCAAAGAAATAAATATATAAAAAAGAAAACACGCTTTCCGATTACCAATATTGGGGGTTATTTTGCTCTCTGAGGGAATCATTATCGTGTACATGTTTGGGTAGATGCTCTAAGAGGTTTGTTTTCCAAACCGAATCCTCGTCTCAAAACGGTGAATATGAGATGCGTGCGCTTATATGCTTATGAACAATGGCACCTTCTAAAAAACTTTCGAGAACCCCCAAAAAAGCACTTCAACGGTAAAGGGTTAATCAGATTAATTTAGCGTCAGATTGTTATGACATTTGATGGACATTGCGCCTCATGGATATCGGCATGCTTTAATTATACACACAATTTCCGCTGCGTTTTATTTGAGTACACTCACAACCTTCGGTTTCGATTCACTGAAATTAAGGTTCATATTATAATTTGAGTTACGACATCAACCCTAGAACTATTCCACTATAATCATGATCTGTCATCTGAGAATAAAAGAATCGAAACCACGTGAAAACGTGCAACGGAATCTCGATTTAGTTGCGCCGTCCACGTGAAACACAGGAATGACCATTTGATTCAAAGTCCTACTAGTATGATAATACAAAAAGAACAGTGTACCCGGGGAACCTAAGTGATCATCCGGGGTAACAAATTAACCATATACACGTTAGGCGGAAATAAGACAACTTTGATTACATATAAGAAGTTAAAACGGACGGAAACAGAGAACAACGACAGGAAATATACTAGTATTGATATATTATCTATGTGAAAATTTCTGACTTATTAGCAACAAGTCAGAAATTTTCACAAATAGCAGAAAAGCTGATCGATAATTTATCGATTCACTAAGAAGAATACATCGTGCGATTAAAGAAACGACGTCGAGGAAAGATGGAAAAGAATTTAAAGAATCACGGCATGATTGTTGTTATAGATTTGAGAATCCTTAATCATTCAAACTTTAACCTTTATTCATTTTTGTGCTACACCATATCCCGAACCGGCTGCGCCCTGTACAAAACCTAAGATTTCTATGCTTTCCCTCTTTTTCCATTTCTGTTTAACCGTATTACTCTCATTCATGTTCATAAATTTTTATTTCTAGTCTGACGTTGACGCACTAATTGAATTGACGTCGTTACCTGTGTATCCATCGCAGATTCTATAAGCGCTATTTGAATTTCATCGTGCGTACTACCTGATTGCTTTTCCGTAATAGTTGTGCTAATTTATGTGCGTACCGTTTCTGTAAAGAGTGAATTGATGAGTGAATAAAAATGATTGAATAAATGTTTGTGTGATACAAAGAAATTTGCTTGAGAATCAATTGTAAACGAATTTAATGTAATGTTGTGCTCCATTTTGAAGCAATTCAGAAATTGGAACATGTTCTGCAACGTTTTATTTCATCAAAAGATCTCATACCAGAATATCTATCGCAGTCGATTCTCAGTATCCTCAGATTCAGTGTCACGTTCTATGTAAGGAGTAGCCGCAAAAGCCTAAATTAATGAATAAAACGTAATGTGTCCTACATATCTATTTTGAGTTATTGAGTACCAATCAATCTCTTAAATCATTAAAGGTTATGATACTAAACCTCTAAATTGATTTTTAGTTAACAAGTATCACCTGAGAAAAGAAAACCGGTAGCTACATAAAGCGAGCAGGGATTTGATTTGAAGAATTCCGAAAATCTCTATTTTCCCTTTTTATTGCGCAAATTTACGGTTAACCACATCCCAGAAAAGAACGAATTTGCTTGAACTTCTGCCTTTTGATGGCCACTGACTGGCGTTTCCCACGTAGAAGTTTGGTCAAGGCAGGTTCGCATACATACAGTGACTACACAGATTGTATGCTATAAAAGATGCTTCACCTGAGTTCACTAAATCAGCTTGGATTGCTAAACTTTAAAAGCTCCGGAAAACCTGAATTTACCTGGCTTACTTCGGATATTGGTTAAAGTCAGCTGTAAACTTCTATTCTTTGTCTTTGAGTTATTGATTAAAAAAGGTATTATTCGAAATCAGTATTTAGTAAATAAAACGGAGAGGCATCAAGTGGAAACAGAAACTAAGCACACAACGGTCTAAATGTACTTACCTGTATAAATTCAGCAGTTCCTTCAGTTGAATTCTTTAAGCGATTTTCCATTTGCTCTCGGACACTGTTTAGTTGATTCAATCGCATGTGTATGCGTTTGCAGTTCATTTCATCCTTCTCACTACACAAACTGAATTTTGAGTCATCGAGTAGCGAACTGATCTGTTGGAGATCTTTGCCGAAGTTTGTTCCTTTGCCGTCATTTTCTTCGTGCTGTATCCTTGATCCTAGCTGATGAACCGATTCCCGAATGGCCATTTGAGATAACTCAATATCGTCTTGCTCATTGTTTGGGAGTTTTCTTTCCTCTTCCTAGTTGCGTAAGAGGGACGAAGAGCCGTGCTTAGCTCACAACCAAAAACAATCAGTTTATTATCCATAAAGTGTCCTTTGACCGATTGAAATTTGGAAAAAATAATTAGTACTTTTTTCATACTTTATATTGAAAGGGGTAGAAAAGAATATAACCATAATTCAGTTAAGGGATTCGACTATCAATTTTTGTGTTTTATTATTTATATAACAGCATAATAAACATTATAAAAATCATATTGGATGCAAACGTTTAATTAAGGTGAGTACCTTTAAAGTAGAACGTGTAAAAGACAATAATGTTAACTCCCTAATAAGAACAATCTCTTATCTAAATATGCAGGTCTAGTCGAAACTGAAACAACCGGTCCCTGTGAAATACATGTTGGTTCCTATAGGCAACAGCATTTATACTGAAGTAAATTTTGTTTCTAAATAATAATGATCAAACCTTAGTAAGTCTTTATAGACATGATTTTTCTGTTTCGTTGATACTTAGCAGATGGAATGGTTCAGAATGTAGAGGAAACTCCGATTTCGTCAGTAGTGGTTGACCTAGTTCATGATGTATTAAGTGGTAACTAAAGAGAATGGAACAGTTTTTATTACCAACAAATGAACACTGATAATAAGTAAGATGTAAAGTTTGTGTACACTAATAGTCGATTGGTCGGTCTTTGTTCTTTAGGACTTTTACGAGTATCTTCGGCATCGAATCCACCAACTTTGTTAGGAAGTCATTTTCTATGTTATGCTCCATTACCTATCGCACTTTTGCCTTCAATGTCCAAAGTATAAGTAGCACATTGACTTCTCTTTTCAAAACAGAAAACAGATTTTCAATCACGTTGAGATCCGAGCTATTAGGGTAAGTTGCATGAACTAAATCTTAGAGTCACGCATCTTTTCTGAAGTCTAAAAGAAATAAAAGTGAAACAAACCGCTCAACTGAATAAATTTACTAACCTCTAGTGAAACATGACACGGAGGGTTATCCTGAAAAATTATCACTTTTCCAGACGATATTTTTCATGAAATTCTAGAAAATCTTCCATCATTACTGATATAAATTCCCCACTATTCATGGTGCCCTTGACTGATGTCCACCGACAAGGCTGACCATGTTTTATCCCTGCCCAGATGCACAATCTCGAAGAATAAGAAACTCTTTCATTAGGTAGAATAAGTCCTTTTGGAAAATTCTAACCAGTAATTATTTTTTTGTGAGCCATCTAACGCTCGTCTCACACCATGCTTTCGTCTGCAAAATAAACTGATTGTCAAAATGATGGACTTAGAGATTTGAATTCTCGGGCAAAATCAATACGAACTTGTCTTTGCTGCGCGATCAACGCCGGCTTTACGTCAGCTGCATCCTGAAGCATTTTAATTGTTTCCATTCTTGTTTGGAGAAGGGAGTATGAATGGCAAGAAGATCTTCCAGTTGGATATACGGCAAAGATTTTCTGCAATGTTTTGTTTTCAGAGTAATACGAAACAGGTTTTCCCTTGTTTACTGTTTACGGCCTCCACAAATATTGCTTTCTGATACTTGATAAAGTTCGATAAATTTTGCAGTTTTCATGTTGAGATCATTTAATCTTGGCACTCAAAGTCAGGCACGTTTAATTGACACTCATGCAGCCCAAAAACTACGTAGATCAAATATTGTCCATACCTAAAGCATGAATAAGGGTGATAAATATGATGAATCCTCATTTGATCATGGAGAAAAAAATCTGGTGCATCACAGTCGGCCAGTACGGTATGGTTTAGGCAGATAAACCCATTAGGTGTATCTCTTTCCGTTTCAAATATTTTGTCAGCAGTTAGAATAAGGTAAATCAGATCTTCCGAACGTAAAGTTGACGCTCTTGGAAACATAGGACTCACATCTATTTTTAGTGGACTTTATCAAAGAAATAGACGTTTGTGAACAACGTGGAGTAACGCTCTTCACTTCGAACTACTCATGAATCAAGCAGTTAGAACAAACCTCAATGGAAATACTAAACGCTGTTGTCACATCGCAAAACAGATTAATCTTGTCGTAGGACATTTTATTGAAACAAGGAGCATGTTTTTATATCCGCTAGAAATAAATTATGTGAATTGTGAAAGTTCAGTAGCTTCGGTGTGGTTCGAACCCAAGCATGGACGCTGCCTACGCTTTGCACCCGCATGCTCGACCAGTTAATCTTCGAGGCCACACCGATAGCACGAATCTCTTCACATTTGAATGTACCCATCCAGCTTACACAGGCATCCACCAGTTGGAATGTAAGCTGACTGCTCCAAATGGTCTTTCTTAGAATTCGGCGGAGTCCACCGAATGAGCTTTTAAGATAAGGTTTATTGTTCATATTTTTTGTTTGTCACATTTGAAGTTTCTATGTCGACCGTGAAATGTTCAGTAGCCTCGGTGGGATTCAAACCGGCGCATGGACGCCGTACGCTTTGTACACGTACGCTCTACATTCTAAAGAAGGAGTTCGTTGTGCATATATCAAATGAGGCGTGAAATAAAAGCTTGGAAGCACTGTTGAGCTGATTTTACCTTGAGTCTCATCAGCAGTGCTTATCCAACTACCCAACCGAGGATCAAACGCAGGACCTCACAAGCAGAACGCAAGTATGCTACGGAGTCGTCCACGGCACAGCTGATCAGACAGATTTTCATCTTACACGATACCCAACCCGGTTGGAACCTCTGTACAGTTCTTCCTGGATTTCAGTTCACATATCATTTACTCTGTACACAACATGTTCCTTCGATGAAATATTGCTTCCTTCATCCATGTGAAATACACCGCACATCACTAAGTAAGCTGACTAATGATACAAACAATTTATTCAGTAATTACCTTTACACATCACGCATCTTCGAAATAAGAATAAACTTTTATTATTATGTCTATTATTTATTGCAATACATATCGAGATGTGAAAATAATTAAAAATCGTTAAGTATACTCACCACATCCATCTTGCCAGTTGACCACATATTATTCCTAATCTAATTCATCTCTAAAGTAGCATTTTATATGGTTCGACAACGTAGGCTTGACATTCAAGTGCATATCTAACATAACTACCATTTATGTGAAGCTCATCATGTACTCCGGTAGATGGCTACATTTACAACAATGGAGCCGAGGATGCTGGGGTCAACCATATACAAAACTAACGGAATTCATCATCATGAATTGATTCAGGTGGTAACGTGAATATACATTCATCTGATATCAGCAATTAGTACAAAGTTACTGGATTCCACAGTCGCATTCCACAGGGCTTTAACTGTGAATAAATTTGAATCGTAAGGTTTTAAAAATCATTATTACCAAGTTTGCTGAAAACATTACAATCTATTGAAGACAGCAGTCACAACATATCTACGGCTAATAATAATGTATCTCATTTATATCCATGTAATCATCGCAAACATTACAACAAATAATTTTCCTAAAATTTGTACTCATCAACAGAGGTCTCCAAGGAAATTCTCTCATATGACCGTAGAAAATCCGAGCCATAATACGACAACACAAACCAGAATATACCTATAAGTTACAGCTACATTTCGAGTTCAGTGTACTGTCAAACTATTTACGTCCACTATTGGAACCAATAAAAATCACGACAGAAACAGATTGAGAAGATTTAACCAATAAATAAACGTACTTCATTCGATGCAACAAAAAGAAATACTAATCCCACGATGAACGACCGGAACTTAATATTTGTAGTCAGACATTGATATCCACGTTTGACATTCCGCCTTATTCCTTGTGAGCTATTCGGATGACACTACCATTTTGCTATAATTTCAAAAGCCTTAGGGATTGTTATCAATCACCGTGTGGTTTGTCGGAATAGAAGTGCCAGCCTTCTTATATACAGAATCAGCATATATACTGAGGTTT